AAATTACTGAATCCTTCTTTTCCAATCATAGTATAAAAGTTGTCCTTGATGGACAGCACTCTTCTTCTTACTTTGTAACCTCAGGGGTTCCTCAAGATTCAATACTTGGCCATATACTTTTTTTAATTTACATTAACGATCTTCCAGATATTCTCACATCTAAGGTGGCATTGTTCGCTGATGATACTACCATTTGTTCTTGTCACGATAAGAAACCAACTCCCTCTGATTGCTTGCAGGGGGCATTTGAACTTGAAAAGGATCTCACTTCTGCTACAGCATCGACATCTCAGTGGCTGGTGAACTTTGACTCATATAAAACTCAATTTTTTTAGGTAATCATTATTGGAACAATCTATATCTTCTGGATCTATATTTATGAACCATAAAGTACTTGATGAATCACCTACCCTTCGTCTTCTAGGATTAACTCTTACTTCGGATCTTTCTTGGAAACCTTATATCAAATAGATTGCAAAATTAGCATCTGCTAAAGTTGCATCTCTTTATCATGCTCGTCACTTTTCTTTCTCTGGATTCTATTCTTTATCTCTACAAATCTCAAATCCATCCTTGTATGGAATACTGTGGGGTGGCTCTTTAGAATGATGCCCTTTCTCATTTAGACAAGATGCAAAAACACATTGTAAACAAAGTTCGACCTACTCTTGCAACCAATCTCCAACCATTATCGCATCATCGTAATGTTGCATCTCTTTCCCTTTTCTATAAATACTATAATGGACACTGCTCTAAATAGCTGGCACTACTTGTGCCATCTACTAAAATACATTCTTGTGATACTTGTCATTTAATTAAGTCTCATACTTTTACTGTGACTATTCCTAAGTCTTACAAAAATTCATATTTGCCTAGTTTATTTTCTTGAACATCAGCCCTTGGGAATTCGCCTCCTTCATTTTGTTTTCCTGATTTATATAATTTGCAACTATTGAAGTCATCTGTTAATTGTTATCTTGCTCTATAAATTTCATTTTTCTTTTTCATTATCTTTCAAATCTAATAGTAGTTGCTTGCAGCCTTGTTGGAAGCAAAGATGTTTAAAAAAAAAAAATTGATATGATATAAACTTCAATTTTTGTAATATTTGCTTTTAATAATAATAATTACTTTTCATTTTACTTTTTGAGTTTCTTCCATTCAACAAAGTTAATATTTAATTTTTTTCTAAAAAATCTGCATTTTAGTTTTTCATTTTCAACACATCATTTGAGAATGTAACTGAAAATTTGTGCATTATTTTGAAACTTGATTATTAGAAATAATGGTTAAATAATTACACTTAAATAATATTTTAAGAAGTTAATATTTTAAGAAGTAATATTTTTGTAATGTAAATTATATTTCCACATAAACTTTTAATAAAATTGAGTATAAATGTACATTTATGCTTAATTTTTTTTTATTTCTTAATTTGCGCAATTTAATTTCTTTCAGAGGCCTAAACTTTTCTTAAGCCTAATATTTCACAATGAGAGTCATTACTATGGGTTACATTTCAATAGAAACGTAACCCATAGTAATGAGCAAAAAATTTTACTGGCAATATTTTGAATAATTATCTATTATTTGAATTATTATCTAATATTCAGAATTATCTATTACTTTATTATCTATATATTATATATTATCTATATTATATGTTATATAATAAATAAATATATATATATATATATATATATATATATATATATATATATATATATATATATATATATATATATATATATATATATATATATAATATAGATAATATTATACATTATCTATATTATATATATATATATATATTTTTTTTTTTTTTTTTTTTTTAACATCTTCACTTCCAACAAGGCTGCAAGCAACCACTATAAGAGTTGGAAGTTACTGGAAGAGAAAAGACTAAATCTGTAGAGCAAGATAACGATTGACTGATGACTTAAAAGATTGCAAATTATATGAATCAGGAAAGCAAGATGAAGGAAGCGAATTCCAAAGAACTGATGTTCAAAGAAAAAAACTAGAAGAATAAGAGTTTTTGAAGCACTTAGGAACAGTCACAGAAAAAGGATGAGACTTAATTGAATGGCGAGTAACACGAGAATGAATTTTAGTAGATGGCACAAGGGACGCTAGCTCTTTAGAGCAGTGCCCATTATAGTATTTGTAGAAAAGAGAAAGAGAAGCAACATTACGACGATGTGACAAAGGTTGGAGATTGGCTGCCAGAGCAGGTCCAACTATGTTTACAATTCGTTTTTGCACCTTGTCTAAAATAGAAAAAGCATCATTAGAAGATCCGCCCCAGATGTGGCAACAGTATTCCATACAGGGACGGATTTGAGATTTATAGAGATAGAGAATAGAATCTGGAGTAAGAAAGTGTCGAGCTCGATAAAGAGATGCAACCTTAGCAGATGCTAATTTTGCAATGGATTTGATATACGGTTTAAAAGAAAGATCAGAAGTAAGAGTTAATCCTAGAAGATGAATGGTAGATGACTCATCTAGTACATTACCATTCATAAATATAGGAAGATCTAAATTATTACGATAACGATTGGCCGAATAAAATTGAGTTTTATCTGAATTAAAGTTCACCAGCCACTGTGAGCCCCATGCTGTAGCAGAAGTGAGATCCTTTTCAAGATCAGATACCCCCTCCAAGCAATCAGAGAGTGTAGGCTTCTTATCATGACAAGAGTAAATGGTAGTGTCGTCAGCGAATAATGCCACCTTAGATGAGAGAATATCTGGAAGATCGTTAATGTAAATTAAATATAATATATATATATATATATATTATATATATATATATATATATATATATATATATATATATATATATATATATATATATATATATATATATGTATATGTAAATATATATATATATATATATATATATATATAAATATATATATATATATATATATATATATATATATATATATATATATATATATATATATATATATATATATTATTATTATTATTATTATTATTATTATTACTATCTAGTATTTAGAATTGGGTTGTATTCTTTTCATCTCTGGATTCAGCACCTACAAAAATCGTCAGGTATTAATTTTCAATCATTTTGCTCCATTACAATTTAGAATATTCACAAACAAAGTATCTTTATTAAATCCATAATGGAAAATGTGAGCCAAAAAAAGGAATTTTTTGTCTACATTTCAAAATAAAATATCCTTATTATGCTTCAAGAGAACAAAACTATATTTTTAATTAAGATAACCCAAGATCTCCTATGTCATTTGAAAAAAATTTGAAACCATGAGACTTGGGCAAAGTGAAAGTGCAATGCGCAAAGTACAGAAAACTTGACTGACCATTTTGAAATTGAAAAATAACCATCAAAAACAATAAATTATGATATTTTTTCTTATTTTTGAATTCAGCACCCATGAAAATGGTTGGGAACCAATTTTTCTGAATTAGCCATTACAAAGTATAATTACAAAACCTATAATGGCAGACTTAGAAAAAAATATTTTTAAGCTGACTTTCAAAATGTCATAACTTTTTTACAATTTGGATTTAAAAGCTCAAACTTTACATTTTGAAATGTTCATTAAGAGATACCACAGGTTAAAATTTAGGAAAATTTGAGAGGTGACTGGAATGACTGTCCTCCTTTAACATTGAACTAATTACTATCATGAATAATAATAATAATAATAATAATAATAATAATAATAATAATAATAATAATAATAGTAGTAGTAGTAGTAGTTGTAATTGCAATTTTTCTTAGTTATTATTACTATTATTGTAACTATCATTACTGATAGATTTATATCAGCTATTGTAACAATAAATAAAGGAAAGTAAACATCCTGTTTTTGTTACTGTTTAGTCATATTTTCTGTTTTTTATTTACGCTTTATTGTTTATAATTTGTTTTTTCTAAAGTTGTTCATTGTTTTTTAAAAAAAACATGCTCTCTTCCATGTATTTTTTTTTTAATATTTTTAAGTACTAATTTTTATTACTTATTTCCAGAGTGATGGATTTACTTTAGACTAAAGTAAATCTATCACTCTGAAAATAAGTAATAAAAAATTGACTAAAGTTTAATGCCTTTATTCCAATTAAACCAAGAGTTATTGATAATATAAAAGCTACAATAATTATTTTATTGAACTTATTATGTTACATTAATTCAATCATTGACTCTTTAAATCAGATTTCTGTTTGAATGACACTACCTTTATTAATTATTTATTGATAAGGTTTATCATAATTATAAATATTTTGAAACAAAAATTTTAATTTTATAATTTTAATAATTTTTTCAAATATCAATAATGCAAATTGCTATATTAATATCTAGTGTTTAAGTTATTATTTTTTCAATGTTTGCTGCTATTCTTTTGTGTGACAGCAATATTATTTTTATCCTTATAGTATTTTTTGATAAGCTATAATCATTATTTACAGACTTTTAATGATGCCATTTTTATTTTATTTTTTAGTTGTATAGTTATTTTAAATGTAAAAATTGTAAAGAAAAACAATTATACTTTTTTTGCTGATCTTGATATGGTTTTATTAGGTTTTTTTTATTCAGGTTTTTTTAGTTATGACTAAAAAATTTTTTACAATAACTAAATGCAGTCATAACTAATGCTATTATAGTTTTACCTGATATTTTTTGATTTATTTCTCACCTTTAGTGACCTCTGTTTTATTATAATCTTATTTACACTATAGACTATACAATAAGTGGCACTGATTGTGTGTCATATCATTTATGCCGATATGAGTTACTAATAGTAACTAATAAGTATTGCTAAGTAATTATTATATACTATAGTAATACACAGTATAGTAATAATATAGTAATAAACAGTTACTATAATTTAGTAATTTATATTGACATAAGTTGATAAACATCCTAATTGCATGTATAAAACTCAGGTTGATGCCAGTTGAATAATCATAAAGCGATTATTTCTAATCATGTAAGTTCTTACCTATTTACAAAAAAGTAATACTGATACTAAAAACAAAAATTGCTGACAATAATGATCGGTTGTCATTCACTTATTTTTTTAAATCTTTTGAATCAACCGGAACAGAAACTTAATATTATGGTTTTAAAAAACATCGCTGAGAATAACATCGACCCACTGAACTCCTTATGTAAATAATAGCTAGCTGCGTAGTTTCTCGCATAATTATCTTCTAAAATTATCTCCGCTGAATTAAATCGTTTTTTTTTTTAAGGAATAAAATTTTTTTACAAGTGCTTCCTACAGGGCTAGATTATTCGTCACATTGTTTAGTCTTAATAATTTTAGAACTTGCCAATTTATCATTTTCAATTTAGATAAAAATTAGCTTTATTAAATTATTTGAAATGTTAAACGAATTGTGAAATTAAACAATTTGAAAGATTAAGCGATTTTTGAAGGTAAACTATTTTGAAATATTAGGCGACTTGTAAAGAATCGGCAAACTTGACAAGTCAAATAATTCAAATAGTTTAACTTGAAGTAATCATTTTAAATCCAAAGTGAAAATAATAAGTTGGCAAGGCCCAAAACATTAAAGACCAACCAATGCGTTGAAAACTCTAATCTTATCGGAAGCATTCAACAAGAAGAATTTGATTATTTAAGAAACGATTTAGGAAACGTAGTTTTGTAGTTTCTGACCATTTTTAGCGATTTAAACCAAATTTTTAAATAATATAATCTGTGGTTACTGACTATCGAGTTTATTGAAAAAAAAAAGTTATTAAAATCATAAGGAACATAATAAGATTTTGTACAAGAAATTACTCAAGCACAATCTATTAAAAGATAAAATTGTATTGACAGGAGAGAGAGCGCAATTAAGGATAGTTTTTAGCCTCCGAAATTAAACACAAGATAAATCACTTACAAAGGAAAAGCGAACAATTATGCAAGGAGGAATAGTTGACTCTCTAAGGACAAACTTGATCAATTGAACGTCAAAGAATGATGCAATTTTTAAAGTAGTTGTGGAAATTTTGAAACATGTTCCGAGACAGACAAATTTGATTGTTGCAAAGGTACCAATATATTTGCTTCAGAATTATTTTAAAATTTTTTTATTATTTCTAAATTTATTACTGTAAAAGGGGACAGGTTTTCGATTTTATACCAAGTTTTGATTGAATTAGCAACGTTTCAATATTTTATATATAAAAGGTCATTTCAATTAAGCAATAGTCTGGGAATACAAAGTATTATTTCTTACCACCAAGAAGAGTATCTAACTTTTCTGATCACTTTTTTTTTTTTTGAACGTTATATTTTGCTGTTTAATAAAGACTAGCTGTCTGTATCATTGCAGGTATTTCACACTTAAAATATATAAACGTATTCCTAATATAATCTATGAACTTTAATATTTTTTAGTAAATGATAGAAATTAATTGACTTATTATTATTATTTTAACCATTGTATTAACTAATGTTGATATCTTAACATCTTATTGTAAACCTCCAATAATAATCTCTATTTGACACGGAGGTTATTAAAATCCTAACAAAGTTTAATAATAAAAATAAAAATTTTGAAAATAAAATCTTTATAGAAGATAAACTTGCTATAAGAAAATTGACTCTTTATAGTGTTAAACACGCTTATAACATAAGAATCTTTCACATAGAGGACAAATGCGTTTTACAAACTTCAAGTTGTTTTTAAAAAAATTCAGGTTTATAATACTCCCCTCTGTTTATTGGTCATACGAGAAGAGTTATTTTAACTAAAAATAGATTTTAAAACAAGAGCTATTAAAATTTTTAAATATTTAAAGCTATCATGAAAATAATTATAAATCAGGGCCGACGACACGGGTTTCGATGCTTTAAAATCATCAATTCTTAAAATAAGTCTTCTATATCTAGAATTTCCTTTAAATAATCAAAAAAAAAAAAAGTTCCTATAGAAAAAAAGAGGGGGGCACGTGCCCCATGCCCCTCCCGGTATCGTTGGCCCTGTATATATACATATGTATATACATATACATATATATGTACATATATGTATATACATATACATATATATGTATATACATATACATATATATGTATATACATATACACATAAAAATAAGCCAAGTTTTTTAAAAATACTTTTAAAAATAAGCCAAGTTTTTTAATTAAAACGTTTGTGAAATTTGTGGCCTTTAGGGAAACATTTATCAGTTGTGCTCAAAAATGTTTTGGCTACGTTTGTTCTGACGTTGAGTGAATAAGGTGGGTTAAACTAGATAATGTTTCTTTTTCGAGATTTTGTATTATATTTCTTAAAGGTTAGTTATAGTGTTATAGTTATATTTATATATAGGGGAAAGCGGGGCAACATGGCGAATGGGGCAAGATGGGTTTTCATATAACAACTCGATAAAAATTCTTATACTTGGGTAAAAACGAAGCAGTATTTGCATTTTGTATTTTAAAACACCGATTGGTTTTTTGAAATATTATTAACGCAATTTTATACGCATAAGTTTACTTTTCGCGCTTAAAAAAAAATTCCTCACTTTCGGTTTCTCATAATGGATGGTGTCCTTCAAGTTTAACTTCTTTAGAAGTAGTTTTTTGCAATTTGTGTTTATTTTTTGTTACTTTAGTTACAGTTATCGGTGGTTTTTTAAATTTTATATAATTGGAGGTAAAAATTGCATAATAAGTCATCTTGCCCCGATCACGTGACCAGATGACAAATTTATGAACTTTTTATTTTAATATTTATTTCAAATTGTTATATTAGCAAACGGAAAATTCCAGTAGGCAATGAATCATTTTAACGACATAAGCATACTCAGAAAGTATTATTGCTTCACGACTGATAGTTTTGCAATAACTTAGAGCTTTCAAAACGTTCGCCATGTTGCCCCGCTTTCCCCTATATGCGTTCCAAACATCAAGAGTATTACTACTTCTTATAATAAAAAGATATTATTTAATTCTCATGAAAATGCCAATCAATTATTCAATTGTTGAAAAACCACCATATATATATATATATATATATATATATATATATATATATATATATATATATATATATATATATATATATATATATATATATATGTATATATATATATATATATATATATATATATATATATATATATATATATATATATATATATATATGTATATATATATATATATATATGTATATATATATATGTATATATATATATATATATATATATATATATATATATATATATATATATATATATATATATATATATATATATATATGTATATATATATATATATATATATATATATATATATATATATATATATATATATATATATATATATATATTTGTTAAAAACGGGATGAAATAAAGTATATATTTGTAAAAACAAACATAATAAAAGTCATAAAATTGTAAACAAACTTCTTATATATAAAAAAATTTTTAACAAATGTCAAATATAACAAAAGAAACCGGTAAATCATATTAAATTATAAGAAGACGTTAATTATTCTGATCATGAAATAGCGAGAGTTTGTAACATCTGAAGACCTAACAAACTCTTGCTGTTTCAAACTCCCTTATACTGATCAAATATCTGAGGTAATGAAACGAAGATTACACGCAATTATAATGAAACATTGTGAGTCGGTTACCTTAAATTATTATTCACTTTGTTATAGTGTTTAATTTTTTTTTTATCTAAAGATCACCTTCCTGTAAATTTTAAATCATTTGTCGTCTACAAATTTGTTTGTGCAGGATGTAAATCCTGTTATATTGACAAAACCTCTCGCCACTTAAAGACGCGAGTAATTGAACACTACAGATGGGATAAAAACTCTCTTATTTATAAGCATCTTCACTCAAAAGAAAAATGTTTTACAAATTATAATGATGAATGCTTTTCGATTTAGGATCGTGCTAAAAACAAAATTGAATTAAAAATTAAAGAAAGCATTCATATAGGATAGGAAAAACTCGATATGAATAAACAAGTAAACCATGTTAAAATGACTCTTATAATTTAATATGATTTACCGGTTTTTTTTGTTATATTTGACATTTGTTAAAATATTTTTTAATAATTTTTTTGTATATATAGGAAGTTTGTTTACAAATTTATGGCTTTTTTTATATTTTATTTTTATAAATATATACTATATTTTATACGGTTTTTAACAAATATATTTTAATTGATGATGACAATATATAGTCGAAACATGTCTTGATAAGTAAAAAATGATTTTAAATAAAATTAAAAATTTAGTCTTATTTTTAAATATATATATATATATATATATATATATATATATATATATATATATATATATATATATATATATATATATATATATATATATATATATATATATATATATATATATATATATATATGTATATATATATATATATATATATATTTATTTATATATATATATATATATATATATATATATATATATATATATATATATATATATATATATATATAAATATATATATATATTTATATATATATATATATATATATATATATATATATATATATATATATATATATATATATATATATATATATATATATATGTATATATATATTTATATATATATATATATATATATATATATATATATATATATATATATATATATATATATATATATATATATATATATATATATATATATATATATATATATATATATATATAAATTAGGGGTTTTACAATTTTTCAACCCCATACTCAATTTAGTGGAGTTTTTATGCAAAAATTAAAAAAATATCAAACATTTATAATATATCTTGAAAAAGTTCACCCCCTCCCATTTGAAAACAAGAATTATAGAATATAAAAAATGTTATTTTGCAACACATGTTACAGTACTTTATAGAAAACTAACAAACATGAATAATTAAAATAATTTTACTGTGTATTTGACAATAAGTATTTAATGTTAAGTTTTTCTATGCTATGGCATAAAGGCATTAAATCTTGCATCACTTTTACTGCACGTTCTGTACATATATTTGACCGTTGTGTTGAAATTAGTGTTGGCTCTGTGGACCAAAATGTCTTCAACAATTTTAATGCTCTTTGATACTCATTGCATGCTTCTAATAGATTAACAAAATCTGCAGAATTGAATTAGTGATCACCAAACCATATATCACCCCATGAACCACAGATGAAGTTGCATGCTGCTTGAGCAGATTTCGATTCTTGATAATCTGATATTAGAATGCAAGCAAGTAGAACAAAAAAAGCTCTCGAGTTCCATCTTGCATTGCTTATAGCAGGAAGTGCTTTAAAATTCACTTTTGTAAAGGTACTTGTGCTTTTAAACTTTCTATAACAAGCTATTAAGTGATGCAGGAAGTCAATGTCATCTCACCAACGTGTCCAAATCACTTTTGTCAAAGGATCTCGAGTATTCTGAAAGTGTAAAGACCACTTTTATATTTTAAGTTCTTCATAAAATTTGCTTTCAACTTTTCTCCTTCTTTCATGACACCTTTGTAGACACCACTTTGAGTTGGAGTAGGAAAAGAAATTTCACCTTTTGATAAAGTTTTGCAGACTTTATGTGCTTTTTAGGATACTAATCTTTGCAGAAATCTTCAAATTTACAGCCAAATATGGTTTTTGTCTTTTAGATGATGATGACAAACTTTCCACATCTTTAGCTTCAGTATCACTGCCGGAACACTGCTCTTCAGTTTCTGAATGACCTCCTTCACTAGCTGATTCATTGAAATCTTGGTCTCGGCTGATGGAATTTTGTTTCCTTATCAACACTAGTTTTCTTGGATGAATACATTTAGTATCTTCAATTGTGGTACAATATCCAACTCTTCCATTTGTTGACATTTACTGACAGTAGAATTCTCTATCTTCCTGACACAGCCATTTACCTTTTTCATCAGTTATGTTAAACAATTGTGTAAAATTTTGAGTTCCTGGTTTTCGACTATCTTTGTCAAGTTTTTCAATATATTTTCTATTTTTCTTTTTGATGTTGATTTTTCTTGTAGAATTGGAATATTCAGCTTTCTCCATAGTAGTTCAGTTTCTTTAGCCAAAGTTGTAACTCTCTCCTTTCTGCTTTTTACATTTGATGACAAACTTTTGAATCGATCAACGATATGCTGTTCTGTTGGTATTTTATTCATTACACCAATATTTTAATAATAGCACATCTTCTTAAAGTCTTAGTTTTTTCAAACCTCACTATATTTGATTCCCAAACTTTCTTATTCTTTTCTAAAGCAAGACTATTTTTAGCCATTTTTGTATGTCTATTATGTCATTTATAACTCAATAGGATAACACTAAAAAGATAGGAAAAACCATTTTCAGCTTGGAGGGGGGGGGGGGGACGGGGACGGTGATCTTTTTCAAAAATTAATATTAAAAACTTATATTTTCTGTTTATAAATTTAATTTCTCCACTCATGGTGGCATTGGGAATTGAAATTCTTAAAAAAATTTTTAGTCATACCCCTAATATATATATATATAAATATCTATATCTATATATCTATATCTATATATCTACATATATATATATATATACATATATATATATATATATATATATATATATATATATATATATATATATATATATATATATATATATATATATATATATATGTATATATATATATATATATATATATATATATATATATATATATATATATATATATATATATATACAAAAAAAGATTTTAACGCTTGACAATGTGAAATCTGCTTGGTTTTTCAATTTTAGGTTAAAACTTAAGTATTTTGTATAAAAATGCACATGAAAAAAATTCAATTTTAAATTCTATTTATACAATTAATTATAAACTATTTTTAACAAAAAACATAAGAAGTTGTAGTTAAATTTGACGAAAACGGACGTTTTCCGTAAGCTCATCAACAGTTAGCAATGCCAGCTCATCCTAGATTGCACAGATGATGATGTGCTGTGGTAATTTAATGGTAGTTGATCAAATTTCGCTTTGAATCAGTCAACGCTGATTGCACTGACATCCATATTAGGTAGTCCATGGTTGAGCAACACGGTTGTCTAAAACGTTGAAGCAAACGAGACATTTATTGACGATTTAACGATTTAGCGTTACTTATTCAAGTTTTACTTGACTGTTGAAGCAGAGTATCATAGCGTTACATTATTTAGGCAAATGCGCCACCTTTCCTCTACCAGGACGCGGTCAATTGTCAAGTGTTTAAGTTTTTGCTTCGGGTAGACGAAATAGAGTTTTTGCATCGGAATAGACTGAACACCTACTTTACATTTAAATAGGAATGTTTGCTTTTAATAGAAAAAAAAAAACAATTTATTGCTCAAAGTGATGGCAAAAATGTCAGAATTTCAATTCGATGAGTTGATGAAATTTGCTTAAAAGAGGCTTTCGGTTTACAGTTAGGATAAATGTTGGTGTTGATTAAATACGTATTTGGTTAATAAATTGATTGATAAACAATGAGTTTTATTTTGTTTTATATTTGATATTTAAACAAGTTGGTTGATAATTCAAAAAAGATTTCAAAAATTTTATATATATATTTTTTTAGATATTGGTAAAGCGCTTGAATCAGAAGCATGAGACTGGTAGTTCAAAGCCATCTCTGGGAAAGTTTTGCGAGATAGGAATGAGGTGCTCTGTGATAAAATTGTAAAGACTTTTTGGGGCACCTAAAAAATTTAAAAAATATAATAACTTTTGTTTTCAATTGCTATTGTTTTGGTCGCTGAGTTTAGAAAAAAATAAAAATAAATAAATGACATTTTGTTTACAAAGAAGTGCCCTTGGGAATTGAGGTAGCGGTCTATTGCGGATGTATTATCATGTATTGAATAGAAATAATTCACAGGAAGTAAAAATGTTTTAAACAGTATCTTCAACAATAAAAAATAAGGCAATAGAACAATTTTTAAACGAATGAAAAAAAATAAATAAACAGCGACTGTTACAAACACTCCAACGCTAAAACTGTCAGTAAAATACAAATAATTTACAGAGGCGCCACAATTACTTTTGTATTTTAATAAATTATGTAAAATACAAAAGTTATGACCATCCATAGTTCACAAACCCTCGTAACATTTTATGGATATGAAACTTATAACCATAAAACAGACCAAAAAAAATGCTTCTTCTTCAAACACTCAATTAAGCCTTCCCAATTCAGGATTATTTAATTCAAGATATTGGAATTACCATGTCCTTAGATACAAAACTCTCTAGTCACTGCTCTCGTATTTTAAGTATAGCATACTCTTGCATTTATTTACTTTTAAAATCCTTCATCTCTTACAAATCTCAAGTTTTGTTAAAAACTTACAAAGTTTATGTGCGGCCTGTATTAGAATCTTGCACCTCAGTTTGGAGCCCTCATCTTTTAAAAGATATAATTTGCATATAAAAAGTTCAAATATTTTACCAGAATTGTCTGCAAAAGGTGTCATACTATATATACTGATTACTTACCAAGACTTATTCCCAGGGTGCACGCCCTTCCCTTCCAACGTTTTTTGTAGAGAAACTTTTTTTTTTGAAACCCATGTTGTCCGCCATCTTGTCCGCCATAATTAAGCATTACAGACGTTTGTTTAGATTAGCAACCACAAAAAAAGAAAGCAACAGTAAATAAAGTCACGATGTATTTTCTACGGCCTGTTTAGAAAAACGTAACTATCAAAAGTAGCACTGTTTTCATTTTTGGCAGAAATAAAGCAATCCAAATTAATTATTTTGGTACATACATTTCTATTACATTAAACCTTTTATGAATGCATTTACTAATTGCCCCAAATTTTGTCTGATTCTATCTTGACTATTAACTATGCACGGTCGTTCAGACCATGGAAGTATAAAACAGATGGAAGTTCAGGCGGGTTTAAATTTTTCGGGACTATGCTTGTAACCTTCTGTTTTGTAAACAATAAGAAAACGTATAAAGATTTCTTATTGTTTTGTAAACAATAAGAAATCTTTATACGTTGACCCAAAAAGGTACGTTTATAATAATTTAAAAATATTGTATTTTGAAGGTTCGTCAATAATATTCAAGAAAAACATTGAAAATGGCGCAACAAAACGGCAAACAACAACTTACTTTTTAATAAACAACAACTTTTTAATAAACTTCTTAATAAACTTTTTAATAAACTTTTAATAAACTTTTTTAAACAACAACAACTTTTTAATAAACTTCATATGAATGGATTACTACAAGAATGAATGGAATAATGGATAATGAATGGAGTACTACAAGAATGAATGGAATTATGATATACAGCTAATGAAACTTTAAACTTTAATTATTTAGAAAACAATTTTTTTGATTTTTTAAAAACTGTTTTAGTTGCCTTTTTATTCAAATATCGTGTTATGACTTGAAGCAAGAAGAGAAGCTTAAACTAAAATATGCTTTTAAAATCAAGTGGTTCTATTTAATTACCGAGTTTTAATAAACCGTTTGATGAATAATTGCAACTACTAATGGTAAAAACTTTGCAGCATATTCCTAGAACAAATCATTTTTTGATGTTTATATAAAAATCATTTCTGTGAATTTTGTTGTATTTTGTCCAGTGAAACTTGTTTTTTTTTTAAATTGTCGGTTACAAGCATACTCCCGAGACAACTTGAAACTGCTTTGATTTTTGCGGCTCGATGAACTTTTTTCTGTTTTATACTTCCGTGTTCAGACTTACGAAATAAGCGGAAATTATTATACGCAAGCGCAGTTAAAGTTTGCATTTTTTAAGAGTTTTAAAAATGGCTACGTGTACTGAATATAAAAAAATTCTCATTGACAACGAGCTATTTTTAGCCATTAAATATGCATTAAGCCGTTTATTAAAAAGAAATTACAATAAAAGTAACTTCTAGTACATGATACAATGTTTCAAATAAAATATAAAATCTCTGAAAATGAATAAAATGTAATTACAGCAATAGCTACATTAGTGTCTTTTATTGTTTTCAAATCCTTTTTTAAAAAAATTTTGAGCGTAGAAATTTATTATATTTTACTTTTTCAGATAGATGAACTGTTTATCTCACTTATAATATTTACTTATATTAAATTTCAATTTTTTTACAAGATTATAAGATGTTTTTTCAACATCAACAACAATTGCAAGGCTACTGTATAGTCACAATACATAATTTAATTATATAATATATATATATATATATATATATATATATATATATATATATATATATATATATATATATATATATATAACATATATATATATATATATATATATATATATATATATATATATATATATATATATATATATATATATATATATATATATATATATATATATATATATATATATATACATTTATATATATATATATATATATATATATATATATATATATATATATATATATATATATACATATATGGTACTGTATATACTGGTATTCCATTACATACCAGTGTATCCTTTCTTGGAACTCCCTTCCGAACACCCTAAAATCAGGTCTCATCCTTAGGTTCAAGAATCTGTTCTTAAATTCACTCCATCATTTCTACCTAAAAGGTTACGCTTAACTTTAGTTTTTAATTTTTTACTTTCTATCTTTTGACTTATTTTTATTATAGTGTATTATTTTAGTTTAATTTTATTTTTAATATTTTATTTTAAATAATTGTTTTTATTATAACTTACTTATTTTATAATAATTCTTGTTTAAGTATATGTGCAGGTATAAATGTACATTATATTAATTGTTATATATATTAAAAAGTCTGATTTTTTTGCTATAATTAAATAAATTTTTATGCAATTTTACTTTTATTAGTTAACATTATGTTTACTTATTTAACTTAACTTCCTTTTATAACCTATTTTTTTAAATGGTTGGACTTATTACATATAGGTCATTGCGCTTTATTAGTGAATCACTATTTGCAATGACCTGTGTTTTTGTAACATCTGTAACATGAAATATATTGGTATTGTTGTTATATATATATATATATATATATATATATATATATATATATATATATATATATATATATATATATATATATATTAATAAAAATACTTATATATATACTTATATATATATTACAAAATTTATATATTACTTATATATTTATAAGACAAAATTTGTGTTTTTGCTAATTTATTATTACTCTGTTTTAGCACTCTATTTCTATAAAACACTAACATAACTTATATATATATATATATATATATATATATATATATATATATATATATATATATATATATATATATATATATATATATATATATATATATATATATATTAAGATATTTATATATATATATAAATATTTTAATATGTATGTTAGGCCCATGCAAATTGGCCTAGCATACAATTTTTAATATATTTACTTCGTGTTTTTATTATATTCAATTCATATTTTAATATATTCAATTCGTGAATTGTGTCTCGAATTTATAAAAGTTTTTTCCTTTTTTAACTATTTATAATAATTAATAAAATACATTTTTTGGGTATTCGAATGAGCAAAGTTTAATCAAAATAATTTGACCAAATTAATTTTATATAGTTCTATTAATTTAGGGGTTTCTATTATTTAAGGGGTCTATTAATTTTATATAACTTTCAGACACTAAAATACAATTAAATTTAATTGAAAAACTGTAGATATTGAAAAACTGTAGATTTAGAGAAACTAAGCATTTTATCAAGAGCAGAACACGTAGCAATAACATATTCTCGCATTTATACCTCAATATTCATTTTGCCTGAAAATATAACATTTCACCACTTGTTGTCGTGTTTCATCAAGCAAATTAATAAACGTTTCTCTCATTGTGTTGCTATAGTTGGCCCACTAGATCGTCCAGATCCATAATGTCATCTGTTTCAGTATAACATTTTCAAATATGTGCAACAACTGAATATCCAATATTTAACTTATTAGCTATTTGATGATGAGATATCTTTGGTTTTAAAGAAAAATAGATTTGTAACACGTTTTTTCAGAGATTCTTGACAATGATTTTATAGTTTCATGCTGTATTACTTTGCTCGTTATGTAGCTTTTTTTAATATCTAATTGTTTTCATCAGTACTAATTAAAAATTAGAAATTTAGAGTTAATAAATGCTATTGAAAATTTACTTGAAATTATAAAAAAAATCGTCAATATATTACATTAATTTTGAAATAAAACAGTAAGCATTAACTTTTGACAAACAAAAAAAAATCAAAATAATATAGTCTATGTTATTAAATTACATTTAATTAGGGATAATAAATAAGTTTTATGAAAACTTGTCAATTAAATAATAAACACGATACTTATTAATTAGAAATAATAAAATATTTAAAAAGTTTTTAAAGTTTTTAAGTAATTACTAGTTTTTAAATAATTTTAATCAAACAGGTAAATAAGTATGCTCTAATTAATGGCCAATGGTGTATGTATGTATGTGTGTGTGTATATATATATATATATATATATATATATATATATATATATATATATATATATATATATATATATATATATATATGTATATATATATATATATATATATATATATATATATATATATATATGTATATATTTATATACACACATATATATATACAAACACACTTTATTGGTTTACATAGTATACTATGCTTGGACATATATTATTATTTTTCAGAGTTTGATTTGTATGCATTAAATGTGT